AGCTCCGTTCCCTGCCCTGGACACGCTCCAGCCCCTCCAGGTCCCTCTTGTGAGGACCCAAAATGGGTCACAGTTTCCCCAAGCTCCCTCAGCACAAGGGACACTCTCTGGCCCTGCTGCCACAGCACGGCTGGCACGGGCCGGGTCCCGGTGGCCTCCTGTCCCTGTCGCCCTGCGCTCCTGTCCCGCTGTCCCCGCCACCCGCTCCATCCCCAGCCCCTCCTCCCGCATCCCGCCGCGCTCCGGGGTCCGCTGTGACCCCAGTGCAGGGCCCGGCCCTTGGCCTTGTTGAACTTCATGTCCAGCTCGCTCCACAAGACACAGCACGCCGCCCTGCAGCCCGCCCCCAGCGCCACCCCACACACAGGCCCCGCGGGCCGCTGCAGCGTCAAGAGCGCCATGTCCGACTCGCATCAGCGCAGGCCGGGACGGGCAGGGCCGCGCCCTCCTTTTCCCGCATCCCCCAAAGCATCACGGAGCCCCCTCCGGACCTTCTCGACTTTGCGGGGCCCCTTGACCAGCTCGTGCCGCTTGGGGATGGTGCCGCCATCGCATCCCATCGCGCTTCCGGGTTCTTCTTCCCGGCGCACTTCCGAGTACGCCGAGCCCCTTCCGGCGTGCTACAATGACGTTACTTAGCAACGATCACTTAGCAGCGCTCGCTGTTGCTTAGCAACGGGCGGCTTGGGGCGTGGTCACTGGCGGCGGGGCGGGGCGGAGAAAGGCGGGGCGAGCGAACCCATCGCTCCGGGACCGGGGGTGCCAGGAACGTACCAACTCAGCGCCGGGGGCGGTTCCCGGCGCCGTTCCCTCCCCTTTCCCGCAGGTTTCTGCCTTATTTTTATGAGGAAATGGCCCGGGACACCCATTTTGGGAGGATTTACGGCCAAACAAGGCGCTCCCGAGGCGGTTCGGGCTGGCGGGGGCGCTGAGGAGGCGCGTCCCGCCCTCAGCAGTGTCACGGACACGGGTGGTAGCGGAGCGAGTTTTATCCGCTCAAGTTCCGTGTGGGATGCGAACGCTGTCCCAAGTGTGCGAACAGCGACAGCGATGTCGTGATGACAGTGATTTAATATATCGCCATGTCGGCGATAAATCACGCCAGAAACACGGGGGTGACAAGGAAAACTCCAGCGAGAAGATGCTGGGAGGGGAGCGCGGCTCACGCCGTTAATTGTCCCTTCTGAGGGCCAGCAAGGGCCAGGCCTTGGCATTGCGGCTACAAACCGTAAATTAAATTAATTAGGACAACTACAATTAGCATGGGTGTAGCCGCGCGAGGCCTCAGTGTCTTTGTCACATCCAGAAATTTTCACGTCCAGAAAATTTAGGGGATAAAGTTAAAAAGCTCCGCAGGCCGAGGCTCCTCAGGCTGGGATGGAGCCCTGGGAGCTGCCCCAGCGCTGGGTGGAACTCGCTGGGATTCCAGCAGGGAATAACATCGCCTTTCCAGCTTTGGGAAGAGCTTGTCCAAAGCCTCTGCATGTTTAGTGACTGAAATAATCTCTTTTTCCTAGCTGGAGAAATGCTCTGAGAGCTCTGGGCTGTGTGAGAGGATGATGTGCTCCCTGTAGATTAATCAGGAGTCAGGAACTTCTCCCAAAGTTTTCCTCTGTGCTCAGGTACCAGCCTGGTGCATTTCCTATTGACTGGATTTTGTACCGTGTTGCATTTGTTAAAACCAAAAATTAGCTTTGCAGCTGTTTAAAAAAAAAAAAAGCCAAAACAATTCTGTAATTAGAAATGTTGAGTAAAGTCCTCAGGACACAATCAATATTGGGCTATCATAAGTTACAGAACATTGTACAGTTACATTTAGAGAGAGACTTTACAGGAATAGAAAAAAACAATTAAAAAGGAAAATACATTTATCAGACATACATGAAGAACAAAAAAATAAAAAATCAGTCCCATAATCAACAACTTTTGCTCCAATACACAGCAAACATTCCCACCCAGCCACTGTGACGATGACATTTCCAGGCAGGATGTGGAGAAGAAAGTGCAGATTTAATTCTTCTGCATCAGCTGAGAGTGGGGATCTTCCCCTGCTGCCAGTGCACCCAGGGAATTCCTGGTGGGAATTCTGAGAGTGGGGATCTTCCCCTGCTGCCAGTGCACCCAGGGAATTCCTGGTGGGAATTCTGAGTGCGAAGTGGTGCCAAAAGGAGCAGCAGCAGTGGCAGGTCCCTCAGTCCATCATGGCCCTGAACTGCTGGGTGTACTTGGCCAGCTCCTCGGTCTGCTCCCGCAGCTCCCTGGTGGCCTCTGCGCTGGGATATTTGAGGGCTGCGGTTTTGGTGGCCAGGGCCAGGTTCTTGAGGAGGCTGCAGAAGCGGCTGCTGCTGTGCAGGACGTCGCTCCGGGCCTCCCTCTCCTGGGTTTCCTGGCACAGCGAATCCACCAGCTTCTGCCCCACCATGATGATGAGTTTGCTGTGGGAGATGAAGATTTCGGGGGGCTGCTGGTTGCTGAGGCTGGTGGTGAAGACGCCGATGGCCTTGTGCAGGGCAGCGAAGCACAGCCTGCAGTGCTCTGGGAGGGGGATTTTCCTGGCAGGCTCCTGCCTGCTGGGATTTTCAGTCTTTTTTGCACATGGCAGGACCTGGAGAAAGGGTTAAAATAAAAATAGATTCAGCCTGGTGTCACACGCTGGTTGTTTCTTTGGTTGCTCTACCCTAAATTCTTGTGGTCTTCAAATTGCCCCACCCTGGAGCCTTTACAGTAATTTTTCTTTCCATAAAGTGTTGGAAATTCTCCTGATTGTCTTTTTCCCTCCTAAATACAGTTTTAATAATGGATAGCACACAAAGTGCTGCAGACAAACACCAACCCTTTACCCAGTCTGGCCTTGAAGCTTCCAAATAATACAAAACATTGATCTTTAATGGACTTAATCGGGGTTATGAATGATTAAAATGCACAAAACAAGAGTCAATTTTGTGCCAGTGCATGACAAGATACTTTGCAATGGTTGATTCTCACAGGCTTTATCCCAAATGGTGCTGAAAGGCAATAAAATAAACTGTATGACTTTAAACTGGAGTTGTTTGTTTGAGGAAGATAAGTGTTCTTCACCGGTTTTCAGCAGTAATTCTGAGAAAATGATCTCAGAGAAGCAAATAGGTCTCTGTGTATAGAGATGTGTGTCTGAGTTTTAGCAAGCACAGAAATCAGGGACTAAAAGCCCTCATAAATAATATTTTCAAAGTCAGAAATACCTTTGGGTTTGACTCTGTACTCTTCTTTGCTACTTCTTTACCTGAAATGACTTTCTGTGCCTGTCACAAATTAAAATGAAAGCAAAGTTGAAACAACTACATAAAGTATTTAAATATATATGTGGTTTTCTCTTATTATTCTTTATTATATTTATTATATTTATTATTTCTACTTGTTCCGTAGCCTTCATGTTACAAATAGAAATGGGGATTTTTTAGAAGGAGCTGTGGGTTTTTTCCTCCTAAAAATGTAGTACCTAGTCCTGCAAGATCTGAGACTGAAACCAATATCATCAAAACCTTGTAACAAAACATTCCCTAAATTTTAAGGACAATCAGCATTTCTTTGGGAAACTAAGGGAGATGTTCTTAGTAGATATTTCAGTAACTCTAGGGAGATTCTAAGAATTATCCAGAATTATTCTAACAACTAAATGTGATAATTCACAGAGTTTAATTTCTATGAAAACAGGATTTCCAGCACCTCAAGTTAGGATGGAACATCCCTTGTCACGCCAAACACAACATGCAGCAGGAAGAGAACTGTGAGGGAAAAGGGAAGTAAGGAATTGCTAACTCCCAAATCCTGCTTCCCAAATGAATTCAAACTGGCAAGAATGATAAAAATGTTTGATTTTTCTCTGTTGATTAAAATTACTGTGCATTGTACGTGTGCCATCCAGCACTGTCACAAAATCCTGGACCCACGTAAAGTCTGGAAAACTCAACGTGCCAGGGGTGCAAAGGTAAAATAGTGCTGATAGTTCATAGCTTAATATCTGCAAAAGGTGGGGAGATGAAACCCCAGTGTCACTGACCTGTAACTGCACATAATCACAATCCTCGCTGCAATTTCCTTCTGGTTTCTGCATAGGGACCTGGCTTTGGCTGGATTTCTCAGCAGCATTTCTCTGGAGTGACTCAATTTCTACTCTTCCTGGCGCTGGGATTTGTTTTGCCATTTTGCATTCTGGGTTCACTTTTGGTTGCTTCTTTTCTTGTTCCTTCTGATTCTTCCTGAAGAGCAGCTTCCCGTTGGCGATGATGATGGACACAAACCTCTTGATATCGTCTGGAATTGTCCGGGCCACCATAACGAAGCGATCCAGGTCGTCAGGATTGTTCTGGGGCTTCCTGAGCACCAAAGCCTCCAGGGACCAGCTGCAGCTGTTGAGAGCTTCCCTCGTTTCTGTCAATATTTTGTAGGAGTTTGTGAGGATTTCCAGCTGTTTTTTAATTCTGGCCTGCAGGTTGTTATCCGTGAGGTTGGAGGCGTTTCCCTTCAGGGCTTGAGCAAAAGCCAGGAACTCTCCCATTGACACCTTTATGTGGTCCACTGCTCTGTGGATCTCCTCCAGGCTTTTCTCCAGGTGCTCCTGCAATCTCCACTTGCTGCTCACAAAGATCATTAAGCTGGCGATGGAGCTGGACACGCCGTGCTGCAGCCGCGTCAGGGTCTCGATGGCTGCCTCCAGCTCCAGTTTGATTTCTTGGACAGGCTCTGCTGATGGTGACAGTGTAGAAGACGACTCAGCAGAAGAGCTGGAGGATGGGGTCAGAGTGCTGCTCCTGCTGTCCACACTAGAGACACACAAACTGTCATTTTCTGACTTGGGGTTCACAGAGAGCTGTGGAGAAACACCGTGTGCTTGGTCACTGTTGTTTTCCATCGCTTTCTTGGAGTGCCCAGCACTGGGCAAACCTTTGGGAATATCATAAACGTTCTCCTCAGAGATCTGACTCTCAGCTTTGGCAGCCAGGAGACTCGGGGGCACCTCAGAGCTGCCGTTCTGTGGCAGGAGGAGCACGTCCCGTGAGGATGGAACGTCGTAGAGGGGGATTTCTGGAAGCGTTAATTTCCGCTGGGGCGGTGGAATGTGGTACAACTGTGCATTTCCAACCTTGGCTTCAGTGGCCGTGGATGGAGCTTTGTACCTGGCTGGGGGAATGTCATACAGCACCTGCTTCTCCACACACTGGCCAGGAGGGTTTGGTTTGAACCCAGAATTTTCAGGGGATACTGGAATATCGTAAATCCATTCGGATTTCCGAGGGTTTGGCAAAGTGTTGTAATGGCCCCAGCACTTCTTCTGAGATTTATTTTCTGAGTCATCGAGTTCTCTTTTGGGAGGGACATCATATAACTACAACAGAGCACAGAGGGTTCATAAATCATCTTTTCAAACAAGAATGAGAAACAGAACTGAATTCTCAGGGCACATAAATGTGTGCAACTGCACTGATGTCAATGGAAGGGCAGCACAGAAAGGCTGCCTGTATGTTTTATTTTCTAACATGCACAAGCTGCACCTATAAAAGGTAAAATATTTGGAGCACAGGTGATTAGATCCTACAGAGGAGTCCCCAGACAGTGAAATCTGTGGACACTTGATTTTTTTCCCACTCACATGCACACCCTGACAAGGAATAAATCACCAACAGACACCACTGAGTCTGCTCAAACATCTTCAATGAATTTAAATTTTTCTGGATACACATATCCAGCTGGAGTCCAAGCTGGAAAAGGGAAATTCAGGACCATTTGTTGTGTAAGATACAGTGGGGAAGAGATGGGAAACCTGTCCCTGCTCCAAGCCAGCCATCCCAGGAGGGATGGATTATTCTGTGCCCACCAAGACTTACTTACATTGCCTGCTGCTGAGTCCTTCTGGCTGCCAGCTCCTGCTTTTTCTGGCTTGGATGGGATGTTGTAAAGCTTCTTTTGCTCTGCCTGGAAACTCTCAGTGGATCTGCCCAGCACGGAGCCCTTCCGTGTGCCAGGAGGGGTGGCACCACCCTGTTCAAAGAGGAAAAAATGCTTTATTTTGATCCTTTTTAGAGCCCACCAGGGCCTTGAGTGGGATCGAAGGCTTTGGGCCAGACATGAGCAGGTTTGGGTCAGAGCAGGGATCATCCCCTCACACAAAGGGCATGACTCCAGGAAATCTGGGGACAATAATGGACTGGGCTGGGAGCAGCAGGGTGTGGGGACATGTCCCAGTGCCACTCACCCCTCTGTGTGGGGGTGGCAGGACAGGGCTGGGGGCTGCTGCCCATCCCATCCTGGTGACCTACATGGGCTCAGAGCTGGAGGAAATGTGACATTCTCTGACCCCAGGGGAGTGGGACAGCACCGAGGACAGGATTGTGTAACAGGACACGTCAAGGTGACGTGGCCAAATCCAGGGTGTGTTTTTCCCAGGAGAGGGGTGCTGGGGGTGACATTTAATTTCTTAATAATAATGCTGGACATGTGCTTGTGACTCTTCTCTAAACATCCCCAAATCACCCCGACCAAATGACACCACCACATCTCCCCAGGGATTCTGAGGCAGAGAGCTTGACACTGATACACAGAATTCAGCAGTGTCAGCCTCTAACAATCCACAGGGAAATGTCTTCCTGATGGAAAAAATAGAAGGATTTATTAGAAATGCACCAAAATGCACATTGCTGTAAATTTCTAAGAAACTCAGCAGAACTGAGATTTTGAGCTAAAAATAGATTGTTTGCTTCCCAATTGTACAAAAAGCAAACAGGCTGACAGTAGAATTGACCTGCAGATCTACTCTGAGGTGCTTCAGGGTGCCAGGGAGGGAGCGGGGCAGGACTCACCTGTGGGAGCAGGGACCCACGGTGCTGTGAGGAGGGGACATCGTACACCTCACCCCTGATGTTTGGGGCTGAAGCCCGGCAGGCTCTTGGGAGGGTAAACAGGTGCTTGGAGGGGAGAAAAAAAACCAAAAAATAATAAAACTTCATTAGCAGGAAGCTCAGAACAGCTTTGAAAAGTCATTTAGGTGAATAATCCACTGTTGGAGTAATCACTCTTCAGTGATAGAATCCTTCAGCTCTTCACTGAAGGTGAGAGACAGGAACTGACCTTACAAGCAATAGGATGTTTATTCCCAAATAATTCTCCTTTGCCAGCATTTCTGGTACATTTTTGATAAGACCTGAACTGGCACATACACATCAAAGACAATCTGCCTTACTAATGGGACAGAAAAGATTTGGAGAAAATCCAGCTGCAGTTATCACTTAAACCTTTAAACTGCTCAAAAGCAGAAGCACTTAAAAAAGGAAGTGGGGAAATTTCTACTTCTCCAAGCCCACAGTCATTGGGTCAAGTCATTTTAATGTAAGAGTAGCAAAAAAGTGCAGGCTGAGCATTATTCTGTAGTTCTGAGAGACTGACTCATTTGGAAGGAGTAAACCTTGATGTCCTGTCCAGCACCATAAACAGGGAAGTCCACTATGGGAATTATATCTTTACAGTCAGATTTGTTTGATTAAACATAATTTAAACAAAGCAGCCATGACCAGATCTGTGGGACAATTAATGTCACAAAATATGAATGCTGGTTTAGGACTTTTCTTTTTAAAAATCAACCACCAAAAGGTGGAATTTTGTTCCTCCAGCCTGTCTTTAGTCTGGCTGCCCTCAGCTGATTTATGAATGGGCCATTACAAACCACTGGCCTCCAGAAACACTGCTGGGCTGAGATGTTACAGTAAATGGTTTTAAACTGGAGGGGGTGCAAGTCCTGCAGCAAATAAACATGGGGGAAATATGGTAGAGGAAGAAGAGTGCAGCTTCACTCTGCCTGGTTCAGCTCTCATCTGAAAACAGGGAATGAGGAGTGAGGACAAATCCTCTTAGTGCTCTGTGATGGAGAATCACAGAATCACAAAACGGTTTGGGTTGGGAGGGATCCATCTGTTCCACCCCCTGCAAAGGGCAGGGACACCTTCCACTATCCCAGGTTGCTCCAAACCCCCTCCAGTCTGGCCTGGAACTCTTCCAGGGCTGGGGAATCCTGGGCAACCTGTGTCTGATTGTGAGCATCTTCCTTGCAAACACAGGCACAACTTCCCTCAGTGAAAGGGTAAAAGATAAGAGATGTGAGGAAAACCATCCTCAGCCCAGGTCTGCTTCCAGATGGACAAATCTGAGAATCCAGCAAACAGGAAATTCACTGCATATCACATCTTGGTCCTGTTAGAAATCCTGTCCATGGCAGTAGAACCAGAAGGTGCCCTGTGCATGATGCAGAAGCAGTGAGGTTTCTCTGTGGGGTGATAACACCCAGGCTCTGAGGGATTTCTTTTTGTTTCATTGCTTTCAATCAGCTCCCTCAAGGACTCACAGTGGCTTTTCCCAGCTGCTCAGAGGACAGCTGAGTATGCCAGGAGCTTTGCCAGCTGTACCACAGGATCTCTGTGGGATGGTCTGGATCGTTCTGTGCCCCCAGAGCTCCCCTGCCTTGGGGACAGCTTGTGACCACCAGGGTCGCAGCTGGTGTGGGGACAGCTGGGACACTGCCACGGGCAGCCCCACTCTCAGCTTCTGGATAATTATCAGAGGCTGGGACATTTCTTTTTCATTCTTCATTCTTTTTCATTCTTAGACTAGACATGGCTTAGGTGGATAAATTCATGAAATGAGACAGGGAGAGCCAAGGAGCTCTTCTGCCAAACCATTCATCCACAAATGAATAGATGACATTTTCCACCTGATTTGCTGGCACAACATGTAAAATTGATGCCAATCTCTGATTCAGTTTGCAAATGGCTCCTTTAGGGTCAAGAATGTGGAGAAATCAGATCACAGCAAGCGCAAGAGAGTCTCTTGTAGCTGTACTCAGTTTGAGTTATGGTTGTGTACTGCAGCTGCAGAGCTGAAAATGAGGTTTTGGTCACCAGGGATGCCCTGGGTTTGTTGTTTTCCAGCACCCACCTGCCACCCAGCAGGAAGCAGCAACGAGGTTTCTGTCAGCAGCCTTCCACACAGCAGGAGGAAAGGTGGCTGACTGAGCCCCATAAATCAAACAATCATTAAATCAGCCCAAAACACCATATAGCTGAATTTTCTTTCTTTCCCTTTTTCAATTAGAATTTCTAATGTGATTTTCATACACAGAATAAAGAGCCTCCCAGGGCTGGAGAGCTCACAGAACTGAACAAAACCTCACACTTGAACTCTATCCCCACCTGCTCTATTTCCCTTTCATTATGAAACATTCCACACCCATTTTTTTTTGGTGAAGAAAGCACAAGGTTTTGATCTTAAAAACCAGTAACATGTAATCAATTTGCATGTTCCATGTATGAGTTTTGTTTGAATGTCAAACATGAGGAGCTGGGAGAAAGAAGAGCCAGGCCAGGGAGCTGTAATGAAACGCTGGAAAACCAGTTTGTTCTCCTCTGTAACTGGGGAAACTGGTGGCATCTGTCCTCCTGTACACCTTGGTCAATAATGTCTCAGCAGCAGCAAAAATGGGCTGGGAGAGAAACTGGCTCAGAGCAAGAAAACTTTGTGTCCTTCTGCGTGCCTGGCAGGGGTTGCTGCTTTGTGCAAGCTTAGTGACAGCACAAGAGACAGGCAGCAGCATTCTGAGCTTGCTGAGCTGCTGGAGACAATAAAAACCAGACCAAACCCAGCAATCATGCACCAAAGGTTGATTTTTTTTTAAAATTATGAATCATGCTCCTGTGCAGATGGATGCAAAGACCCAACATGTGCCCCAACGGCTCTGGATGGCCACAGGCTGTGGCCCATCAGAGAAGAAAATTGTGTGTCTTGTTAATTTAACATTGTAAATGATTTATAGATTCTCCCAAACAAATGGTATAGTCTTTACTTCCTGCCCTATTTTACAGCTGTTTTAAACTGTCAGAAAGGTGAGGCAGTACACACTATAGACACTCATCTGTCGCCCAGAGCAGCGTTTCTCACACAATGCTGTAAATTGATGGGGCTTTCCTTAAACACCCTCATTCTGCTACAAACTCCACTGCAAACCTCCAGCTTTCTTATTTCCCCACTCCCAGCGAGGGCTGTAACAAGAACATCTGCCGTTTTTAGAGCTGCCTTTATCCTCACCTGGTGCGTGGAGCGCTTGGTCCTCTCGCTGAGCAGCTGCGCCGCCAGGGCCGGCACCTGGTACACGGCCTGGGCAGGGACGGCTGGTGGCTGAACCCAGCCCTCCATCTTCTCGTAGGTGGCCGACAGCGCCGTGGCCTTGGGCACAGAGGGCACGGAGGGCACCTGGTAGATGTTGTGTGCCTCCAGAGGCTCCGTGGGGTGCTGGCTGCGGGCCGGGCCCGGCGGCAGGAGCTGCAGGCGGTTGGCGGGGGCCAGGCCGCGGTGGCCGTGCAGGGAGCATCGCCACCAGCCCTCGCTGCCCGGCACGTGCTGCTCCAGCACCGTCAGGATGTCCCCTCTGCGGAACGCCAGCTCGTCACAACTCTCGGCCTTGTTGTCGTAGAGAGCCTTGGCCAGGCTGTGCTGGGGACATGGACGACAACGACATCGTCACACCCGCGCCATGGCTCCTCGCTTCCCGCCTTGGTGTTCCCTCCTGGCTGGCACCCACGTTCCATCTCCATCTGGGTTTTGTTCACCCACCCCTGTTCACACTGAACAACCTCTCTGGAACACCCCTGTTCACACTGAACAACCCCTCTGGAACACCCCTTTTCACATTGAACAACCCCTCTGCAGCACCCCTTTTCACACTGAACAACCCCTCTGGAACACCCCTGTTCACACTGAACAACCCCTCTGGAACACCCCTGTTCACATTGAACAACCCCTCTGGAACACCCCTGTTCACATTGAACAACCTCTCTGGAACACCCATTTTCACATTGAACAACCCCTCTGGAACACCCCTGTTCACACTGAACAACCCCTCTGGAGCACTGGTTTCAGAGTTAAACCGTAGCACTTTGTGTCTGCTATGTTCAGTGCAATAAAGAAATAGATAATAATGAAATCGCTGTGATATATTTCTTCATCACCCTTGCCCGCTCGAGGCTCTTGAAGAGCACTGCTAATCTTTGTTATTTAGATTTATTGTATTAGACTTACGTATATTGGACTTGTAAGCTAAAACACAAGATGTTCCACCTCAAAATGAGGAAGAAGCTCTTTCCATGAGGGTGGCAGAGCCCTGGACAGGCCCAGGGAGGGTGTGGAGTGTCCCTCTCTGGAGACACCCCAAACCCACCTGGATGCATTCCTGTCTCACCTGCTCCAGGTGACCCTGCCTTGGCAGCAGGGTTGGACTGGGTGATCTCCAGAGGTCCTTTTTCAACCCTAATGATCCCTCTGTGGAAAACAGGTTCCCACTGCCATTCTGTGAATTCTTCATCTCACACTTACTCATTACAAGACCACAGAATCATGGAATGCTTTGGGTGGGAAGGGAAAATCATCTCATCCCTGCCAGGGGCAGGGACACCTCCCACTATCCCAGGTTGCTCCAAGCCCTGTCCAGCCTGGCCTTGGACACTTGCAGGGATGGGGCAGCCAGAGCCAGCTTCAGTCACCCCAGGCATTTGTGCAAAGGGTAGAGAAAGCTGTGGATGTCATTTTTTAGTTCTTTTTCAGTACAAGGTAGATTTTGCTTTCAGCTTTAGAACGGCGCTGTCTGCTCCCCAGTCAGTGGGACACTGGCTGTGTCTCAGCATGAATTTCTTATCAGAAAGTGCAAGTACTGTCCAGAGAGATAGCACCCAAATAGGAAACGTGATGCCCTGTATTTTTGTCTAGACCATTTGCTGTGAGGCAGCAGCTGGCTTGAAGCTGCAGCAGAAGAACTCAAATTTGTCAGCTCAGCTGGCGACCAGGGCCCGCTGTTGGCTGCAGGCGTTTTGTGGTCGGGCTGGCCATGAACAATGGCTTTTTTGTGGGACAAGGGCAGCTGCCAGCGTGGACAACAGCCCCTTTGGCCTCATGGTCCAGCCTGGCTTTTGCTTTGAGCATGGGAGTCCACTTTTGATGGAGTCAGGCCCTCAGGAATCCCCTCTGGGGTGGGCCTGGGCTCTACACTTTAAAAAAACAACAGGAGAACAGCCAACTTTTCCTGCTGTTCACCAACACTGCTCGGTCCGTGGGTTTGGATGCTGCACAGACACACTTCTGAAGGACAGATCTTCTTCTTCAGCCCTGAGGAGGGTGGGCAGAGGAAAACTCTCTCCCTTTTCCAACGTGAAGAGCCTTATCCAGGCACACGCAGGAAATGGGTGAAGGGCCAGGAAGGCTGGGGTGAGGATCTGAGCTGGGCACACACACCAAGGCTGCCCTTCCTATTTACACCCACACGGCTGGGAGGAACATTTGGTTCACACTGTGGTTTTAAGAGGCATCTAAATATTGATGTTTCCCCAAACAAGTCTTTCCTGTGGCAGCAGCACACTCAAGATGCTGCTGAGCCCAATTTTATAACCAGAGACACAAAGCTTTCCATCAGAGGGGTCCCTGCTGGAGGCACAGCACACATTCCTTTGGTTTGGCCAATTTATTAATTGATTTATTAATCAATTAAATCATAGGGCACTCTGGGGAACCTGACCTAGCTCAAAAACAGATCTGTTCATGGATCATCTCATATCCCATCCAGAGAGCTGGAATGGAAAAATGAAGACTTTGACTAGAGAAGTGATGGAGACAAGCCCTAAACTCCAGTCTGTAGAAAATGACTGGACTGAGAGGTTGTCACACCTTGGACAAGCAGGGTCAGTGGAGCTCTTAAAAAGAGGAGATCAAAAAATAAAAAAAATTTAAAAAAAAAACAAGCCTCAAAGGTTTTCCAGCTAAGGCAGGGCTTAATTAAATTCCAAGTTTCAGGACAAGCACTCGACACAGTGGAGCTGCAGAGCACACACTTCCTGTGCACTCTGGGTATTTCAGTATTTCAATATTTCAATATTCAGTAATTCAGTATTTCGGTATTCTAGTATTTCAGTATTACAGTATTTCATTATTTCAGTATTCCAGTATTTCAGTAGTTCAGTATTTCAGTATTCCAGTATTTCAGTTTTCCAGTATTCCAGTATTTCAGTATTCCAGTATTTCAGTACTTCAGTATTCCAGTATTTCTGTATTTCAGTATTTCAGTATTCCAGCATTCCAGTATTTCAGTATTTCAGTTTTCCAGTATTCCAGCGTTCCAGTATTTCAGTATTTCAGTATTTCTGTATTTCAGTATTTCAGTATTTCAGTATTCCAGCATTCCAGTATTTCAGTATTTCAGTTTTCCAGCGTTCCAGTGTTCCAGTATTTCAGTATTTCAGTATTTCTGTATTTCAGTATTCCAGTATTTCTGTATTTCAGCATTTCAGTATTCCAGTATTTCTGTATTTCAGCATTTCAGTATTTCAGTATTTCAGCAGGGTGCACAGCACTGCCCCAGGAGCTGCAGGAGGTGGGTGCTCACCCCTCGCCTGTGTGCACGCCGTGGTTTGGGGTTATCTGCAGCCAGCTCTGGATCATCCCACGGTGGCTGTGGCCGGAGCCCAGGCCCTGCCTGCTCCCCCAGCTCCCAGGACATGTGTGAGGCATCACTGTGGCAGCCCCTTCCTCTGCTGGGAGCAGCAGCAGCCCTGACCTGGCCGTGACTGTAAACAAGCGCTGCATTCCCAGGATCCAGAGCCCTTTGGGATGCTCAGCGAGGAGGGGGCTGTGCTGGGAGGGCACTGGGAGCAGCGTTTTTCCCTGACAGCCAGCAGAGCTCGGGCTGTCCAGCGTGTCCTCCCCAGCCAGGGCTTGTGGAGCTCTCTGTGCTTTGTGTCTGTAAATAACCAACGTGGAAAAAGCACTAAAGCAACACAGGTGGGGCCGAAGAGATTTTCCTTCTTTGCTCGCTGCTTCAGCCCCACCAGCAGCCTTGGAAAACCTCTCCTAAGACAAAGAACATCCACAAAAAGCGCCTTGAGAGGCACCTTGAGTGGGTTTAAACCAGCTGGTGACAGAGCACAGGTCTGGAAAAGAGGAAGAATTGGTCCCCTGCAGCTCCTCCTGAGGCTCTGGGACCCCCAGAGCCCCCAGCCACCCCAGGGCAAAGCAAGTGGGTCACACACTGAAGGGATTTACAGTGCAGGGTCCCTGGAACAGCTTCACTTCAAAAGTTCTCATGTGGCTGGAGGTGCATCTCTTTTATTGGAGTGTGGCTCAGATGTGGAGAGAGCCATTCCCCTCCCAAATTGGACTTTCCACATCTTTGTTGTTTGCAGATCCTTATCCAGCACTGGTCCCTCTATAAAGCCTTGGCAGCCCTTGGGAGTCATAGGAATGAAAGCTGCTACCTCATGTTTATTAATGGAGAAATTGTAATTAAGAGCAGTAAAGCTGATCAGGGCCCAGTTCTATGATGTAAAGTTTTATACCCTCAGACTGACATCTGTGCTCTGTGTACACAATAGATATTTATGCTAAGGAAAAAACATCCCACTGTTACTAAAATCTCCTGATGTCTCTCCTACCCCAAACCTGATATTTAGTGTTTAGGCCCATGCAACAGAAAAAAATATCATTATAAAATATATACAAACATTGCTAGAAAAATCCAAGTGAACACAGTGTTCACAGCACATGATAATTTGAGCATCTTGCCCACAAGCCTCACAAAATAATTTCTCTATGCCCCTGACCCACTCAGCTTGTATTTGGAAATCTCAATTTACTACCCCATGTTATTTCATGTGAATGGGTTTCACAGCATTTCAGATAAAAAAGATATTTTTCATTCATTATCTTCAATTTGCTTCTTTAAAACCCCTATTGTGTAAATAAAGAAGACAGTTTAATCCTGGGATTTTTGTGGAGCGAGAGAAATGTTTCTCATGGTGCACATCAATAAATGTGTGAGCTCTTTTACTGCAGGAAAGTGGGACTTAAAATACTTGAGGAGGAAGAGCTACAGCAGTGGATTTTGTTTGCTAAACAGCTCTGCTCATGCATCAGTGGCACCTCTGACATGTTTACAGAGCAGCTTCCAGTTAATCCCTTCACCTCCCAACAAAGCTGCAGAAATAAACATTCTCCATCATCCATTAGCTGGGAACAGGCTTCCCTGAGAATCCCCTTCCAAACCCCAGACCACGTTGAGTCACTTAAATTCACCCAGTTAATTGTAGAGAGTTCACATCAACATCCACAGGAAAAGAGGAGAGTTTCCCTTAAAAGCTCAGATCGTTCTCTACCTGCATGTGCAGCATTTCCTGTGACTTGCAGAAGGTCCTTCTGCATTTTTTTTTGTTTTGTTTGTGTATTTTGGGAAAGAAATGGTCAGCTCATGCACAAGTTTTGTGTGAGCTTCGAGGAGGAATCAACATCAGGGCTCGCTTGTCCTGCTTTAATTGGTTTTGTGGGGGTGGGAGCAGGTGCTGATCAGCAGGTTTGGAATTCTAAATGGTCAAATCAGTTTTTGATTAAACACAGAAACACCACTTTAAAAATTCAAGCTTACAAATCCTGCAGTTTCACACAAGGCAGTGCTGCAG